CAAGGTCTTGCTATGTTGCCTAGGCTGGTCTTAAACTCCTGGGCTCAGGTGATCCTCCCGCCTCAGCCTCCTAAGTATCTGGGATTATAGACACACACCACAGTGCCCAGCAAAACACTTTCTTATTAAGTTACAGACGAGGCTACTCCTGTCCAATCTGTCCTATTTGAGATGGTTTCTTGCAGTACCACAGCCCAAGTGCTGTGCTCACCTTGCTGTGCTCAATATCTTGGAAATCCACATCATTCACAGCTAAAACTTGGTCCCCTTCCTGAAGTCCTGCTCTATGTGCATCAGAGTCAGGAATCACCTGTTGGTAAGGAGAGAATACATGTGATTGGGATGCAATAATTTCAGAAGACTGTCAGTGGAATTTGGTGCTATTCAAATGTAAGGTGCTATTGTTTTTCTGTGACAAGGTATGCGAACAGATCGCCTGCCGAATGAAAAGTTTTAAGTGGGAAAGGGGGTGTCCCCATTATGCTCCTTCTATGAGTCTGAGTCATCCTCTCAGCCCTTGAGATATTAGGGTTCTACAATCTGTTACTTCAACAAAGGGAAGTCATATAGTCTACTGGGCATGCATACCTTGGAGATGAAGATGCCTAGCTGGGAGGCCTTTCCTCCTCGGATGTTAAATCCCAACTGTAAGACAAGAGCACAGAATAGGGGCTCAATAGAGACAACAAACACAAGAACAACTAGTAGCATCATTGTGCTATAGGTCTGCTTGTGTGTCCCTGAGAGGAAAGTCAGAAGTTGTAGAAGTGTTATCTCAGCTTTTCTGTCCACAAGAAGGAAAGTTTCCTCACCTCTGCACCTGCTTCCCAATCTATCCCCCCAACACTGCCAACTTCTGGTATGGACGAATCTAGCCTGGAAAAAGTCTTCATAAGTTCACCTGAGCTCCAGGAGGCTTCTTCAGTGTGATGGTTCGGGGCAGAAACTGGGTCAACTCATTGTTGTAGTCTGGGTGGTGTACCCTCTGCAAGACACAGCAACCCCAGAAATTTTATTACCAGTCTTACTTCACACTTACCTTCACCTGGAACACTAATGAATCACCCTGAAGTCAGAAAAAGGAAAGGTCATAGACTTAATTTAAGTAGAACAGACAACACTGACTAAATGAGTAGATGGATAGCATTGGGACAGCCCAGTAGCTCCACATTTCTTCACCTCTTAACAATATGGAAAGGAAGGTTCCAAATTTCCAGAATTAACTGGTGTGAATGGACCCTAAGAAGTACCTGGTGGGTCCTGTTGCTCAGAATCCAGCTTCTGGGTCCTCTGGCTACAAGTGCTAAGATTCACTCTCCATTTCGCCTTCTAACCCTGCCATCCTACCTTTCATGCATCATCTCATCCCAGGGGGGGGGAAAATCTCCTACTCAGGAATACAGATGATTCCCACCTCATGAGGAGGAATCCATGCTGGAGGATTCTCATAGGCAGGCAGAAAAACCACCGGGTAGTCATCGTAAGGAATCCGGCTGTCCATCTCCGGCAAGGCCCTGGAATGGAAGAGTGAATCAGAGCAGACAAAAAGCAGTTTAAAGGAAAAGTAGCTCAGCAAGTTTCAGAAAGCAGCTCCAACCTATTCCAAGGCAGTCACTCTATGGGCCCAGCCCACATCTAGGTGTTAAGGTTGGAGGAGAGAAGGAAGAAGAAAGAAGGAAACTCTTTGCTAAACATCTTCTGGATGCCAAGCAACCTGCCAGGTACTCTAAAAAGAGGACCTGATTTTTCAGAACAATCCTGCAAAACAGATGCTACCATCTTAAACCTGAAGAGGAAATCAGGGTCGAGTCTAAAAAGATCTACTTTCAGACGGGCGTGGTGGCTCACACCTGTAATCTCAACACTTTGGGAGGCTGACGTGGGCGGATCACGAGGTCAAGAAATCGAGACCATCCTGGCCAACATGGTGAAATCCCGTCTCTACTAAAAATACAAAATACAAAAATTAGCTGGGCATGGTGGCGCACGCCTGCAGTCCCAAGCGACTCGGGAGGCTGAGGCAGGAGAATCGCTTGAACCCGGGAGGCAGAGGTTGTAATGCGCCGAGATCACGCCACTACACTCCTGCCTGGCGCCGGGGCAAGACTCCGTCTCAACAACAACAACAAAAAATCTACTTTCGAAGCCTAAAGGAGTGTTGACTTCACTATCCTCAGGGATTCCGGGCAAGGCACCGCCCCACATTTCCTAGATGTGATTAGTAATGATAGAGTCCCCAGATCGACCCTTCCTTCACCTGATCAGCCACCTTCTACGTCTCCGCCCCACGTTCTGCCTTTTCCCCAGCTCTCGGCCGCATAAACGCCGCACCACCTCACCAGTGGGCAGTCCCCAGCGACCTCAGGCTCCGCTCACCGCCAATTCAGACTGAGAACCGGAAGCGGATGCTAGGCCAGGTCGAAAAGAGGCCGGGCCAGGGTGCGATGAGCTGACCCTCCCCTTTCTACTGCGCCGGCCTGCGCGCGCCGACGTGCGCGCTCTGCGCTCGGGCAGCCTGCACTGCAATTGGTTAGCGTCTCCGGGACGGATTTGAAACTTGGCGGTTAAAGCTCCGGCTGGGACAGGGCGGCGGGAGACCCGGGGAGAACGGGGAAGGGACATTTAGTTTGGTGAGTTACGGGGGCACACCTTAGCTCAGAATCTGTTTTTTCCCGGTACCCTAGGGCTTTGGTTCTTTGCCGTCGTCCCCGTTGGAGTTTTTTCTTTGCCTTTCAGACGCCAGTGCACTCTCTTTAGAGTGCAGGGCTGACGGGCAGTCCAGCCCTGGCCAAGTCCTGGAGAGTGAATCTCCCGAGGCAGTGATCCCGCTGAGGAGGGTCGGAACCGGGGAGGACGCCCTCCCAATCCTGCTGACCTACTAACATTCATCAGCGAGTCTTCTTTTTCCCCTTCGCAGAGACGGTGCTGAGATAGGATCATGAAGGAAGAGGTGAAGGGAATTCCTGTAAGAGTGGCGCTGCGTTGTCGCCCTCTGGTCCCCAAAGAGATTAGCGAGGGCTGCCAGATGTGCCTTTCCTTCGTGTCCGGGGAGCCTCAGGTGCGTAGCAGAGTCCGGAGCCTGTGTCTGAACAGCTGGGACCAAATGGTAATGAGGGGTGTAGTCTTGCCTTTCATTTTTTCCCCTTACGTCTTGTGTCTTGCCTTCTGTAGGTGGTGGTTGGTACTGATAAATCCTTCACCTACGATTTTGTGTTTGATCCTTCTACTGAACAGGAAGAAGTCTTCAATACAGCAGTAGCGCCACTCATAAAAGGCGTATTTAAAGGTGAGGCGATTTGATTCTTCGAACATAACCTATGTATTCCTTAAGCATATACCATGTGTCAAGCACTGTGCTTGGGCACTGCAAACACAGGAATGGATGAATCATGATTGCTGTCTTCAAAAAGCCCTCGGCCTAATAACATTTGTGAAAGTCTCTGTACCCTTGAAGCTAGTTTAATGCTGTATTTGCTTTATGTGGTTCTGTTCATCTTTAACTTGTATGTGTTTGTGTTTATCCTGGAACCTCATTTGATTATAAACTCTTTGGTGGTTGCTGATGGTGATCAATGTGCCAACCTACTTGAGGCTCAGGCACTACGAAGCTTGTTGAGGGATTCAGGAGATAAATAATATAGCTTCCACGCCCTGAAGGAGTTCACAGTCATGATGACTACATAAATAATTTTGAATATATAAAAATTTTTAAATTTTTTGTACCTATCTTTTAGAAGAAAACTTTTTTAACTTAAAAATATGCAGCAGTCAGTCCGGCCACAGAAGTCGCTCTGCTCTCATACAAAGTGGTAGGAAAAACAAAAGGATGGCTGTATCTGCTTGGAGAATTTGGGGTGAATTTTACGGAGTAAGAAAACTTTGAGATGGGTCTTGAATGATAAGTATAATTCTTTTAGGTGGGGAAGGGGACTCCCTAAAGCCTCTGAATACTATGACCAGTTAATAATCTTTATTTCAGAAACTAAGTCTTTAGTATGCTGTTGAAGACCATAGCAGAGTTCTAAAGAAGGGAGCAGTGCCTGAGAATTGTCTAATTATTATTCTAATACAGTGGTTATTCAAGATTCAAAACAAAGGTTCATTTAAAAGAAGTAGAATCATGGCATGCTAGTGCTTAAAATTGAAAGCAGCATTTGTATATCATTTAATTTGGTTTTTATCCAAAGAAAAATGTTTTCTAACAATATCTGTTAGGTCAATTGCCAGTGTCTAAAATTTTTTCTTTGGCAGGGAACTGAGATTTGGGTTTTGGACGAGTCTAATTATGTTGTAAAGATCTTTATATGTTGAGATGAAATTTGCTTCCTGGTAAACTTCTCCCCAGGGATGTTAGTTCATCCTTTTAGAAGCCTTCTTCCAGGCAACGGCTATTCACATATTTTTTTCACCTTTTTTTGTTTAATGATATGGCTCAAGGAACATTGAAAATTTTGTTTCAAAATTTTAAGATATTAATGCAATAATTTCAAACTTATAGAATGTTGCAAGAACAGCATAATGTTTTTTCCCTGAACCATTTGAGATGACTTTAGTGTATATTTCCTACAAAGAAGGACGTTCTCCTAAGTTACCACAATACACCCATCAAAACAATGAAATTTGCACTGCTACATTACTACCATCTATTCTTCAAACCCCATTCAAGTTTTGCCAATTGTCCCAGTAAATATTTCATGGCAAAAAGATCTAGTTCTAAATCACATGTTTTATTTAGTTTTGCTGCCTCTTTAGTTTCCATTCTAAAACAGTTCTTTAGTCTTTTTTTGACTTTTATGATTTTTGACACTTTGAAGATTACAGGCCAGACATTTTGTAAACTGTTTCTCAATATTGTTGTGTCTGGTGTTTACTTATGGTTAGATTCAGGTTTTGTGTATCTGTTAGCAGGAATATCACAGAAGTGGTGCTGTTTTCTTCTCATTGAAGCCTATTGGGCAGCACATGATTTTGATTTGTTCTATTATTACTGATGTTTATTTTGATCATTTGATTAAGTTGTTAATCTGCTGGGCTTCTCCACTATAAAGTTGATCTTTTTCCTTTTTACATACTGTATTTGAAAACTGTTAAATGGTTCTATCTAATTCTCTTCTCTTTAATTATCCCTGTCTTTCCTTTAGCCATTCCTGAAGCAATATGGTTTTCAGACTCTTCACTGTCTAGTCAGATTCCTCGGTCTGTACCTCCACAGCTTAGTAAGAGCACTACAGTTCTACTTTTATATTCTTAACTTGGGAAACTGATAGAATTAAATTATGTTCTTTAAAGGCAACATAAAGTAGAAAGTGATTCCAATATACATGTGTTTGGTTAACACTGCCCTCAGTTGCAGAAACAAAGCCAATATTATTTATAGTCAGCTCAACAGCACTCTATTGTACTCTGAACTCCTGGTACCACAGGGCCCTGAGTATTGTGTAAAAACTACTAAAACGTTATTTCCCAAGTTATTGCTTTCTAAACGTATCTGTGGTATTGTAGAAAATTATGGAATGTTATTCTCTTGCCTCATAGTCATGCCAGGTGATACCAGCAATCTATTACAATGAAAATCTCAATTTAGCATCTTCTTATGATCTTTCATTTAGACCAACAAGTTCTTTCAAAACTTCAAAGTTTTCATTGACATTAAAACATTGTTTCAAAGTTTAAAGATTTTTCCTTCAGACTGCAAAATTATCTTGGTAAATAGCAGATAACAGTTTTGACATAAATTTGATGATCATTTAACAGAGAAGGCTTGCTTTGTGTTCCTTGACAACATGTCTGCCACACTCGTAAGGGACAGACTTCCATAATCATTATTTTTTTCACCTTGAAGTAAATTTGGATTTCTACTTCCTTTTAGGTGCTATGCTTATAGTTTTAGAAGCTACTACCCTATAATTAGGTAGCAAGTTGTAGTCATGCCTCAGTTAATGACAGGGATACCTTCTGAGAAATGCATTGTTAGGCGGTTTTGTCATTGTATGAACATTGTAGAGTGTACTTATACGAACCTAGATGCTATAGCCTCCTATACACCTGAAGCTTTTGCTCCTAGGCCACAAACCTACAAAGCATGTTACTGTACTGAATACTGTAGGCAGTAGTAACACCATGGAAAATATTTGTGATCTAAACATAGGAAAGGTGAAGTAGGCCGGGCATGGTGGCTCACGCCTGTAATCTCAGCACTTTGGGAGGCCGAGGCAGGCAGATCACCTAAGGTCAGGAGTTCAAGACCAGCCTGGCCAACATAGTGAAACCCTGTCTCTACTAGAAATACAAAAAATAAAATAAAATAAAATAAAATAGCAGGGCATTGTGGCAGTCACCTGTAATCCCAGCTACTCAGGAGGCTGAGGCAAGAGAATCACTTAAACCTGGGAGTCAGAGGTTACAGTGAGCCGAGATTGTGCCATTGCACTCCAGCCTGGGTGACAGAATGGGACTCCGTCTCAAAAATAAAAGTAAAATAAAATAAAAAGGTGAAATAAAAATACGTATGAATACACCTGTATAGGGTACTTACTGTGAATGGAGCTTGCAGGACTGGAAGTTGCTCTGGATAAGTCAGTGAGTGAGTGGTGAGTGAATGTGAAGCCCTATGACATTGCTGTATACTACTGTAGACTTTATAAACACTGTATACTTAGGTTACACTCAATTTATTAAAACTTTTTTCTCTCTTCAGTAATAAATTAACCTTAGCTTATAACTTTTTTACTTTATAAACTTTAATTCTTTTAAATCTTTTTGACTTCCTTGTAATAATACTTAGCTTAAAGCTTTTTTTCTTTTAAAAAAAAAATGTATTTTTTTACTTTTTAAACTTTTTGTTAAAAACTAAGACACAACCATCCACATTAGCCTAGGCCCACCCAGGGACAGGATCTTCAATATTGCTGTCTTCCACCTCCACATCTTATCCTACTGGAAGGTGTTCAGGGACGATAGCATCTATGGCACTGTCATCTCCTATGACAATACCTTCTTCTGGAATATCTCCTGAAGGACCTGCCTGAAGCTGTTTTACAGCTAACTTTATTTTCATAAGTAGAAGGAGTATACTCTTAAAAATGATTAAAAGTATAGTATAGTATACTAAACACATAAACTAATAGCAGTCGTTTATTATTATGAAGCATTACATATTGTACATAGTTGGATGTGCTATACTTCTATATGACTGGCAGTGAAGTAGGTTTGTTTACCCCGGAATCAACACAAACATGTAACAACATGTTACGCTACAATGTTATAATGGCTAAATCAATAAGCAACAGGAATTTTTCACCATCGTATATACATTCCCCATGATTGAAATCCTATTATATGGCACACGACTGTAACAACTGAAGTGAGAATAACCTATCCATTGTCTAATTATTTCTTTATAAAATCTTGCTACAGTTGTTTATCTGCCTCTAGCTTCAATCCACACTTTGAATTTATGGGATAAAATGAAAATGCCAGCCGGGTACTGTGGCTCAAGCCTGTAATCTCAGCACTTTGGGAGGCTGAGGTGGACAGATCACTTGAGGTCAGGAGTTCAAGAGCAGCCAGGCCAACATGGCGAAACTTGTCTCTACCAAAAGATTCAAAAAATTAGCCAGGCGTAGTGGCAAGTGCCTGTTAGTCCTAGCTACCCTGGAGGCTCAGGTGGGAGGATCGCTTGGGCTCAGGAGGCGAAGCTGTGATTGCACACGCTGCGCTTCAGCCTGGGTGACAGAGTAAGACCTTGTCTCAAAAGAAAAAGGTGGGGGGCTGAGTAACTAGTAATTTGGATTATCTGACAAGAGAATATACAAAAACGAATACACAAAATAAACATTTTTACCAGAACTAAGCTCAAATAGAAATATACTTTTTTTTTTTGAGACCGAGTCTCGCTTGGTGGCCCAGGCTGGAGTGTACTTTCGCCATCTCAGCTCACTATAACCTCTGCCTCCCGGGTTCAAGCAATTCCTCTGCCTCAGCCTCCCAAGTAGTTGGAACCACAGGCACCACGCCCAGCTAATTTTTGTGTTTGTAGTATAGACAGGGTTTCGCCATGTTGGCCAGGCTGGTTTTGAACTCTGACCTCAAGTGACCTGCCCGCCTCGGCCTCCCAATATTCTGGAATTGCAGGCCTGAGCTACCATGCCTGACCAATAAAATCAAATAGAAAGATACTTTATGGGTTTTTCGGCAAACAGTACTGATAACATAGGTGATAACAGAAAACACAGCCTCTGTTCATGCCATCTGTTTAATAATAAAAAAAATACAAACACGGGGAGAGAAGAAAACACAAATCATTCACCATCCTATTTCTCAGATATAAACATTAAAATGTTAATAATTTATATACTTTTGATCTTTTCCCATCCATACACTTACATTTAACAATTATTTTTAAGCTGCTTTTTTCAGTTAACTATATTGTGAACATCTTTGAATAAATGATTCTCTCTCTCTCTTTTTTTTTTTTTGAGACAAGGCCTCTCTCTGTCACCTAGGCTGGAGTGCAGTGGCGTGATCAAGGCTCACTGTAACCTCCACCTCCCAGGCTCAGGTGATTCTCCTGCCTTAGCCTCCAGAGTAGCTGGGATTACAGGCACCCACCACCATGCCCCTCAGCTAATTTTTGTATTTTTAGTAGACTCGGGGTTTCACCATGTTGCCCAGGCTAATCTTAAACTCCTGAGCTCAAGCAATCTACCCGCCTCGGCCTCCCAAAGTGCTAGGATTATAGGAATGAGCCTCGGAATCTGGCTCCTGAATGGATGATTCTTTATCAATTCTCAATAAAAGCAAAGGACATAGATCACATTGAATTATGCTTAAATGATGATATTTCTGTGAGGAGCCTGATAATATGGTCCAGATGCATTCTGAGAGTTCAGATATAAAGTAGATGCTTAAAAAACAGTTGTTGTTTCCTTTTCAGATGAAGACTGTTAATCAAGGAAATATGTGCCAGAATCCTTTCTTTATCTTTTATTTAATTTCTGTAATTTAAAATTGCTTACGGTAGGAAGACAGAATTTTGAAGCTTGAAATGGCTTGAAATGGCTTGGCCACCTTCATTTATTCAGTCATATCTTTAAGTGTTTGATTTCCTAGCTTCTAAGGGCTATCACTAGGGGGACACATTTTAGGGTTGGTTTTTTGTTTTGTTTTTGTTTGTTGGCTTTTTGCTTAGTTTGAGTAGTGCAAGGCCATGGTACCCACAGAACTTTTCTTTGTGTCTGTCATTCCTAAGAGACTGTATTAGGAGAGCAATCTCAATTTTATTACAAATAATTGCTGAAGGAAATGGAGTGTATTGATTAGATAAAAATGTTTAAACACCACTATGCATTTGTCATCTATTTTGCCAGGATATAATGCAACGGTCCTGGCCTATGGGCAGACTGGCTCTGGAAAAACCTATTCGATGGGAGGTGCATACACTGCAGAGCAAGAGAATGAACCGACAGTTGGGGTTATTCCTAGGGTAATACAACTGCTCTTCAAAGAAATTGATAAAAAGAGTGACTTTGAATTTACTTTGAAAGTGTCTTACTTAGAGGTAAGCAATTTATGTTTAATTATTCTGAATTCAAAATTGTCCTTGGGTCGAAAAATAAATCCAAATCAGATTTTTCCTGCCATGACTCAAATTAGTAAATTGCTTTTTTTAGTAAGTTGCATTTTAATAAATTGGTAGAGAAACCTTACTGACTCAGTTGGATCCGGCTCCCACCCAATTCTTTTCTTGGTGTTAAAATAGTCCGTTTAATTTGGTTGTTGGAGGAATTGGCATTGCCATATAAAAGGATGATAGGAATTCTTTAATTTCAGTTTGGCCTCTGTTACTGATTACCTGTAGAGTGTGCAGAAGAGTGTTTGATTTCCCTTTACTGTTTTGAGACTTAAATGATAATGCTGTTGCCTCGTGAAGAATGTTATAAAAACCTGCTGAAATATTGAGCTGTATAAGTGTTGATAGAGTGTGTTTATTAAACAGATATTTACTGAGCACCTACTATGTGCCAGGCCCTGTTATAGGCACTTCGATATATGAGGTACTTGTTATATATCAGTGAACAAAACAAAAATTCTAGCCCTTATGGGAGTTTTTGTTCTAGTGTATATTAGTATAGTGGTAGACTGGCCAGCTATATCTAACTTCATAACACCAAAAATGCATGTTTAGGGAACTGATGGCTTCTGGGAAACTAGTTCATTGGTTCCATAGCACTGATGTCTTATCCTTTAGGGAGTAATAATTAAACTTAGATAATTTAAGCATACAATTATAAATTGTATGTGAGTACTTCATCCTGAAGTTCAATCTCAACATGTTAACAGGTAAAGAGTTGTAGAGCTGGAAGGTGGGGATTACATCATTAAGATTAGCCCTCTTGGCCAGGCCTAGTGGTTCACGCCTATAATTCCAGTACTTTGGGAGGCCAGAGTGGGAGGATCACTTTAGCCCAGGGGTCCGAGACCAACCTGGGCAACATAGCAAGACCTTGTCTCTATAGAATATTTAAAGATTAGCCAGGTGAGGTGGTACACACCTACAGTTCCAGCTGCTCAGGAGGCTAAGGCAGAATGGGGGGGATTGCTCAACTCCAGAGTGAGACCTTAAAGACAGTTTTGGTTTTTTTTTAGATGGAGTTTCGCTCTTGTTACCCAGGCTGGAGTGCAGTGTAAAGTGTGATCTTGGCTCACCGCAACCTCCACCACCTGGGTACAAGCGATTCTCCTGCCTCAGCCTCCTGAGTAGCTGGGATTACAGGCGTGCGCCACCATGCCCAGCTAATTTTGTATTTTTGGTAGAGACAGGATTTCTCCATGTTGGTCAAGCTGGTCTGGAACTCCCAACCTCAGGTGATCTGCCCACCTTGGCCTCCCAAAGTGCTGTAATTACAGGCATGGGCCACTGCACCTGGCCAAAGGCAGTTTTTAATTCTATTTGTTCATTTATTTATTTTGAGAAAGGGTCTCACTCTGTCACAGGCTAGAGTGCAGTGGCAGGATCATAGCTCACTGCGGCCTCCAACTCGTGCTCAAGCAATCCTCTCACCCCACCTCAGCCCTCCAAGCAGCTGGGACTACAGGCGCATGCCACTTTGCCTGTCTAATTTTTAAATTTTTGTAGAGACGGGGTCTCACTGTGTTACCCAGGCTGGTGACGGACCCCTGGGCTCAAGTGATCCTTCCATTTAGGCCTCCCAAAGTGCTGAGATCACAGGCGTGAGCCATTGTGTCCAGCTAGAGTGGCCTTCTTGAGTCTCTTGATTAACCTAGTTGTGGCCAACATAATTGAATATAAAAATAATTCCAGATCCTGGCATGTTACATAATAGCAATAGCAGTAATAGCAAACAAATGTGCTTATATATGCTAAACACTGTTCTAAGTACTTAAAATTCTGCTTCCTATTGAAGTATTAGCTGCTACTTCTTTCTTTTCCATCCACCCCCATCTATGTACCTGTTATTCACATTTTAACAAAATGGGTGAATATAATGCTATTATGATGCCATCAAAGAACTGAATTTGCATGGTCATGTAACTTTTCATGTGTCTGCTGTTCCTAAGAGACTCTGTCTTAAGAGAGCAGTCTCAGTTTCACTACAAGTGATATGTGAATTCATTTTTATAAAACATCAAGTGATTTTTTTATTGGGTTATGGTCCTTTTCTTAATTCTACAAGTAATACATGTTCATTATGAACACATTTTTAAATACAGGAAGTCACAAATAATTTTTAAAATTATCTATAATCTCACCACCCAGAGATTACCACTGTTAACATCTTGGTTTTGCCACTTTATTTTCAACAATATCAGATTTACAATGAAGAAATTTTGGATCTTCTATGCCCATCTCGTGAGAAATCTCAAATAAATATACGGGAGGATCCTAAGGAAGGCATAAAGGTGTGTTTTTCTCTCATTTGATGTTATTAAAAAATGTTGGCAATCATAATACTAAAGTTCACATCCCTTTTATCTACTACTGTGGTTTTAAATGACTACTCTCATCCCAGTCAGGTTTTGTATGGTCCTAAATCCCTTTGTTAATCTAAATTTTCTAGATGGGAGCTCTTGTGGGGGAAGCAAGGAAGGACTCATGCTGTTTTATCACCTTTCTGTTACCTAGAGGAATGCTAATATCAATTAAATATTATTTACAGAATTCTAAGGCTAAGCAATCCAGTATGTTAGCCACTAAGCACAAGTGGGTATTTAAATTTAAATTAACTAAAATTGAATAAAATTTTAAAAATTCAGTTCCTCAGGCACACTAGCTACATATCAAGTGCTCAACGGCTTCATATGGCTAGTGGTAACCATACTGGAGAGCACAGACAGATACAGAACATATCCGTGTATTTTTTTTCTGGGTCGTTAAGTTGTTAGCTACTAATGCATGGATATAATTGAACATATCTATGTCCGATAGAAATTGTGCTAGGCTTTGGGATGATATTTTTAAAATTGAAAAGTTAAACAATATAAAATTTTTAAAATGTGTAAGTATCATAGGAAGAAGAGCTCACTTATTTGAGAATCTTCTGTCAGATGGTATAGATGCAAGATGAGGAGCTAGGACTGAACAGAAAATGTGAAGCAAAACTGGGAGTTTCATATTTGGGAGTGAGCCAAATCCAGAAGCCAGTGTTGAAAACAGGCAGAGCTTGAGTATTCAGGAGTGGGAAAATCAGATGCTAGAAGATGAGAATAAGTAGTACTTAGGGAAAACTTGGAATAATATCTTACTCCTCCTCTCCTTCCCTTCTTCCCTTGCACAAAGGGAAAAAAAGGAAAGTAGAAAATTTGGTGCACCAATGAAGGGCAGGTGCCTGTGCTCCTGAATTTTTTTTCTGGGTCATTAAGTTGTTAGCCAGCTACTAATGCAAGGTTTAAAAGATCAGCCCTGATAAGCTTGGAAGACACAAAGATGATTTGGATCGTGAGGATAAGAAACCTGGGCAAAACACATGCTATTGTACTGAGCCAGCACTTGACCCTGTTTCAAGATCTTTTATATGCCCCATGTTAAGGCAGGGATTAAGTCCTAAGCATTGTTTGAGGTGAGAGTTGCAATACAGAGAAGTATGAGTTCCTGACACAGACTGGTAAAGATGAGTTTGTAAACACTCTTCAGATGAGATGGATAGGCTTTAAGTAAGTAGAGAAAATAAATAAGGATATTCTTATGGTAAGGAATAGCTTTAGCAGGAAGGTAGAAAATATACACCTGACGGTAATAAGATTACACAATTCTGTGGATTAGAGGATTTGGGCTGGGAAGTAACAGGAGATATGTTGGGACCAGATTATGAAGCCGGGCTGAAGAGCTTAGTTTCTATCCCTGTGTACCATATGTAAACTATGTAAAACTTCTGAATGAGGGATTACTGTGGCTTCTTTTACCAAGGTTTTATCTTAAGTGTGTATCTCTGCAACTCTGTTACAAGTGATATGTGAATTCATTCTTACAATGAATTCACCCTAACCTGGAGGTCAGGGGAGTACTTTGAAATCCCTTTGCATCTTCATTATCTAGCACAGAGCTTAGTAGGTTGGTGACATTTTAGGAAAACCAAACAGAAATGGATTGAAAAAGAAAAAGACTAGGATGAGGAAGACTAGTTGGGGAAATTGTTGCTTTATTTATTACGCGTGAAGTAATATGGGCCTGAACGAGATAAGTAGATGTGTAAAGGAAAAGGAAATGATAGATTCAAAAGGAGAATGACTAGTAGTTGGTGATATATGGGATATGGAGAAGTGGGAGGAGTTGAAGGCGATATGAGTTTTTGAGAATATGAGACAAGACTAATAGAAATGGAGAAGTATTATAGTAGAGAGAATTAGTGCTTGTGGGAAGAAGATGAGTTTGGTTTATAATTGACTGATTTCAAAGTATAAGTAGTAGATCATTAGAAATAAAAGACTAGAAATTAGGGCCACAGAAGTAAGTTTGGGAGCTATGAAATAATAACATTATAGCATATTGGAGCTAGAAAAGACTCTAGAAGCATCTCGTCCAATCACCTCAGAAGCTCCAAGAGATTCAACTAGTATAAGTTCTCCTAAATACAGCACTAAGCCTGGGGCCCCGCCTTCCTTGCTTCCTAATCCAGTGGAAACTGTACTGTGCTATTTCCTCTAGTGAAAATGAGGTATAAAATGAATCAGAGATACAGAGAGGAGCATGGGGTCAGATAGAGGAGAAAGTACAAAGAGAAATGCCGTAGCTGTTCGTGTTGTACTTGCTCTCCTTGGGACCAAAATTAACGTCACTTGGGGTTCCCTGGAAGGCACCTAGCCGTTGCTGCCCTAAAATCTTGAGATCTTTTCTAGCTCCAGGATTGGCTGGCATCCTTGTTTCTGAAGTTCCTAAGGGTGATTGGAGACCTTGCTTTCTAGCTGTCTTCACAGAGTTGCTAGTTAAAGCAGTTCTTATTACTATGACTGTTCTATTTGAGGGTCTACTGACACCAAGGCATTTTTTTTAAATCACCAATCCCTATATTTCTGACCAAGAATTTGAAGTATAAATTATATTCTGAGTGAAGTCTTCCTAAGTATTTAAAAAGAAAATAAAAAATAATGAACTATAAATTATAAGGGAATTTTCTCTTTCTTGCAATTAGATTGTGGGACTCACTGAGAAGACTGTTTTAGTTGCCTTGGATACTGTTTCCTGTTTGGAGCAGGGCAACAACTCTAGGACTGTAGCCTCCACAGCTATGAACTCCCAGTCATCCCGATCTCATGCCATCTTCACAATCTCCATAGAGCAAAGAAAGAAAAGTGACAAGTAAGTTACAATTTAAAGAGTCAAGATTTTTAGTATTAGTTCTATTAAGGTTAAACATTAGGCTGCTTCTTCAATTGATTTGACAAATCATCAGACATCAGTATTATGAGCACTAGTGACTAATGGAGCCATTTTGACTGACTTGAAAGAAAATGAGAGCTGACAGGTCAGCTTTGATACTCAGCTACTCTCAAGCTTGTGTACCATTCTCACTGTGTCTTCCTTTCATTATCACAGGAATAGCAGCTTTCGCTCCAAGCTGCATCTTGTAGACCTCGCTGGATCAGAAAGACAGAAGAAAACCAAGGCTGAAGGGGATCGTCTGAAAGAGGGTAAGAGAGAAATTAAGATCACAGTTGTAGATACAAAATTCTAGTACTCCTGTTGGTATTGCTGGAGTTTTGACTGGGATTTCAGATCACATTCTAATAGCAACTACTATTCAGGTGTTTGAGGCTGACTTCAGAAATAGTGAACAATTGTTTCTTTCCCTTGCACTCATTCTATAATTCAGGTATGAAATTTGGATCTGGCCCTTGGTTTGGTTTCATCTGGTCCAGGCAAGTTTTAGTTTTAGTTTTATTTTCTTTTGTTTTACCCCAACTATTTATAATTAAAATCAATATCCTGATTCTGTCACTTTAAGTATTCACCATCCCTTCCAGACGTTGTCACATATAAACCTCAGCACAATTTCCATGCCTTTGTTGAAGTTGTTGAATTTAAGTGATAAAATTCCTAAGGCTAGAAGAACCCTGTGATGTATATGCCATCAGAAACCTTCCTCTAGCATGATACTGACCTTGTAATCTGCATGCTTTGGAAATGATCCTTCAAGTGATTATTAATCTCTCTAATAAAACTTAACATCCAGCTCCTGTATCTCAATTTTGTTCTTAAGGATACAATAAAATAGTTCATCAGATACTTTGCTAAATCCAGATATACCATGTCTACCATATTTCTCATAGCTACCAGCTTAGTAGCAATACAAAAAAGAAATAACGGTTAGCCTAAAGTGCTTTTTCTTAGTAAATTCAAGGTTGACTTCTAGTGCTTATTCTTCCATTTCTAGGTTCTTGCAGGCTGTCTCTATAATAATCCACTATAGACTTATATCAAACTCACTGTTCTGTAATTTATGGAATTAACTTTTACCCGTTTTGAAAATTGAAATTACATCTGCCCAGTCTTCTGGAACATCTTTCTCTGTGGTTCCTCAAAGGTCATTGACATAGCTTCAGCAGTCTTGTTTGAAATTACTGTCCGTTCCCTTAGCTATAATTCATCTGGTCCCACATATTTGAACTCTTATTATAGTAGTTGGGTTTACACTTACTACCTCTTTACTCATATTGGGCTTCATTTCTCTCTTGGGAACTGAGAAGGCAGAAGGAAAAATAGTAATCGAGGAATTTTACTTCTGTCATTTATCATTATCATACTGCTGGCACAGAGTGCAGACCTGTTTCTTTCTCATTCAGCTTTTTGTTCTGTCATTCAAAGTGCCCTTTTTGTTCTACGTTTGTACTTAAGATTTAGCTTTCCTAAGACTATATTTTTGTTTGTTTGTTTTTATTTTTTGCTAACTAGAATAACCAGCTTATCCTAAGACTATTTTTAAAGGCTGTTATGTTTTCTTTTATCTTCTTTTAGGTGTTCAGTTCCAAGTTGTTTTATTTAACAGCTTTATTTAGATATAATTTACATACTATAACATTATCCATTTAAACTGTACATATCAGTGGATTTTAGTATATTAACAGAGTTGTACAACCATCATTACAATCTAATTTTAGAACATTTTATCATCCCAAAGAGAAGCCCCATATTCATTAGCAGTCACTCCTCATTCCTACCCCCTTCCCTGGCCCTAGGCAACCACTTAACCTACATTTTATGTAAATGTAATCACACAATATGTTGTCTTTTGTGACTGACTTAGCCCAAGGTTTTCAAGGTTCATTCATGTTGCAGCATACATATATCAGTACTTC